GGGGGGTGGGGGGGGCAGGGCGAGCAGAGACAGGCGCCTCACGCTGGGGGTATGGCTGAGCGACGCCGGGGCCTCTGAGAAGCAAGAACAACGGGGACAGGGTCAGCCATGCTGGGGCCCCCAGGCTGCCACCACAGGCCAGGAAGGATGCGGGGAAGAGTGCCGGGCGCCCCAGCGCCCCTCATGGGAGGATGCTCATGCCAGCCGCAGCTCAGGCAGCCCTGCTCAGCCAGACAGGCAGCCAGTCACATGGTCAGGGAGGATGGAGGGGGCAGCTGGCCCTGGGGGAATGAGTGGGGGTGACCTGGGCTCCGTTTCTAGCTGCTGAGAAGCTTCTGAGGAGCCAAGCCACGAAGGAGGCCACAGAGGGGCGGCCACAATGAGATCCCGCCTCCCAGGCTCCCCTTGGCTGCCCCTCTGGCTTGTCCGGTTCTGCGGGCTTCCTCCTCAGGGAGCACCGGCCCCCCTGGGGCTAGGACCCCTCCTCCCAGGCCCCTCGCCTGCCACCTGGACTTGGCCCCGCTGGGCAGCCCCTTCGAAGGCTCCCTCCCTCCAGAGTCCTCTCTGGACGTTTGGGGCCACCGTAGGTGTTGAGCAGCCCCCGGTCAACGTCCACCTCATGCCGGTAGTGCTCTCCCCAGCTGTCTCCAGACACAGCCGACTGTCCCGGGGAGGGGCTGGTGCAGACCCCCTGCTGGGACGGAAGGGAGGGTGCAGGGAGGGCAGGCCCAGGACACTGCCGCACTCACTCTGGGCGATGCTGGACACTGTGTAGCTCTCGGCCATGCCCGACACCTGGCTGGCAATGCTGATCTCACTGGCTCGGCGGAAGCCTCGGGTGGTGGGGGCTGCACCGGGCGAGGAGGGGGCCGCGTGCTCTTGAAAGACTGTGTTGTGGGTCTGGAGCGCGTCCGCTGCAGGTAGACAGGGACCAGAGACCAGTGGGTAAGAGAGGGCCCCCCAGCCCGGCCCCCCGGCCCCCTGAGCAGCGGGAGGTAGGGCCCAGCATGCCCTGGGCTGGGGGGGCTGGAGCCGCGGCCGACACCTCCAGCCGCAGGTGAGCGGTGGCATCTGAGCACGGGGCAGTGAGGATGGGACCAAGCGTGCCAGGGCCTGCCTGCTCAGGGCCGAGAGGGCAGGGCACTGAGTCGAGGTGGGCGAGGAGGCAGGGCTGGGGCAGGGACGGACAGACAGACGGACACAGACACGGTAGGCAGGGAGGCAAGGCGGCCAGGCTCCCGCCCCCCCTGGCCACCCGTCTGACCCAACACACGGCTCCTGATCTTGGCTAGCCCTCCCAGCCTCCCGGGCTCAGCCGCGCGGGGCCTGACCCACAGCGCACTGTCGCTGGGTTTGAGGGGCACTAACAGGAGGGCCTGAAGCGGTCTCTGGGGGATGCCCAGTGCTGGGCACTGAGCCTGAGGCAACACCCCCGCGTGTCCCTCACGTGGGCCACATGGAGCCAGCCCTGAATGGGTGTCTGGGGACAAAGGCAGGTGCCGAGGGTTCAACGGGGCCAGGGCAGAGCAGGGAGAGTGGGGGCTCGGCTGGAGGACCCACGTGCAGATGGGGTGCATGAGGTGCCTGGACCCCCTCAGGCAGGGAAGGAGTGGGACTCTGGAATCAACCCCTCACCGGGACCGGAAGCTTCTCCTGGGGAGCAGGTGGGCTGAGGCTCGAGGCCTCACCCCGTCTGCTGGCTGCGCCCCCAGCCTCACAAATGAGAGCCGGAGCCTTTGGACTGACACCCATGCTAGGTGACCCCGGGACAGCCGCTCCTCCCTCTGGGCTCCTAGGCTCTCGGTGTGCAGAGAGGAGGCGCCAGGGCCCGGTCCCTAGGACTTGTCCTGTCTGGTCTCCGTGGGACACCACGGTCCCACAGACTCCAAGTGGCCAAGGAGGGCGTGGGAAGTCCCTGAGGACCAGCAGTCAGCCAGCGAAGCAGATGCCACCGCGAACGGGGGTGTTACACACACTCAGCACAGCCCGGGCTCGGGCGGGGCCCGTCTTGCCAGGTGAGCGCGGGAACGGGGATACTGGTTTCCAGGAAGCCGTCCCCTGGGGGGAGAGGGGCCAGGGGCCCACCCTCCAGGACCAGCTCGGGGTTTCTCTGCACTGTCTCGACTGGAGGCAGACGGGAGAGAACAGAGAGGACAAGAACAGACACTCGCGTGGGCAGTCCAGACGCGCTCCTCCGACACGGACACGTGGGGCTCCTTGAAGACCAGGACCGGACAGGACGCCAGGACACACTCGAGGGTGGGGGCCTCCCGGGAAGCGCCAAGAGTGGCCGATGGGCAGCAGTCCTCACACAAGCACCCTGCTCTGAACCCCCTGGCCGCCTGCTGCCACGAGGGGCCCCCACGCAGCTCTGCCTCAGGCGGCGGGGAGGGGATCCTCGTCCCAGTCTGCCCCCCCCCCCGCCCCGGCACCTGGGGCGAGGCCCGGACCCCCCTTGCTGACGCACCCCCGTAGCTACACCGGGGACCCAGCTTCCGGGAGGAGCCCGGGGCAGGCGCGTCCCCCCCCCCAGGGCCTCCCGGCGCCGCTCACCCAGCAGCGCGGAGCAGCCGTCCCCCAGCGGGTAGCGCTGGTAGCGGGGGATGCTGAACGGCGGCAGGGCGTGGAATCTCCGCTCCAGCAGCGGCTCCAGGCGGGAGGCGGATGGGTCCGCGGGGTGGAAGAGGTTGTAGACTTGCTGGCAGGCCGGCCGCAGCTGGAAAACTGGGGGCAGCGGGGGGGGGAATGGCAGAGCCCTGAGGAGGCGGGGTCTACAGCAGAGGGGGCGGGGCATCCGAAAGCCTGTCTCTAGGATTTGGCATCTGTCCGCTTATTAACCAAATTTGTTTTAAACTGAGCAGAGTGGAGCCCTAGGCTGTGAGATGGGGCTGCTTCTCCGAGCACGTCATGGTTGTTGGGGAGACAGGCTGAGCGTAAGTATAAAGAGCAGTAGTAGACGTCTCACTTTTTAAACACACACGGAGGAACAGGTGCTTTCCTTTTGAACCCCTCCTCCAGCCCCATGTAACACCAAAACGTGGGCGTCCTTCATGTCAGCCCTGCCAGTTCCATCAACCCGTCTTCCGCCGCGGGCATCCTCCATCGTGGGCGCCGCGCCAGGGTTTAGTCAACCAGCCCCCCTCCGTGGACCAACATTTACAGCGGTTCTCTTGTTTCACGACTACAGATGATGTTGCCATACGTCACTGTCCCTACGTCTTTGTCCGCTTATATATAAGCCACCTCTGGCTTGCTCTTGGGCGAGTGTCCACACCTCTCTGAGCCTCAGTTTGCCCCTCTGTAACCTGCGGATGTAATGCAGGCCCCGCACAGCCCCTGTAAGGATGCCAGGGCTCCCTGGGCCACACTGGCTGCTCCGGGGGGGCACCTTGCAGGGACTGCTGCTGACAGGCTGCTCAGCCGGCATGTCACACCCCCTGCCCCTGTGGCCTTGAGGAGGGTCTCTGGAGCAGTGTGGCCGCTGCCCTTCTGGGACCGGGAAGCCAGGCACCTAGGAGGATTTGGGGGTGCCTGGCTTCCGATCTCTTCCTTATGGGAAGACTTTGGGCCCAGGAGATTGGGTCTGTCTGTGTCCATCTGATACCAGGGCAGCCCCTTCCCTTCTGGACCTCAGCTCCCAGAGGTGCCTTGAAGATGAAATGGAATAGCAGGGGCCAAGAGATGGGGGCCAGAGACTGAGCTGCTGGAGCAGGAGCAAAGGAGAGCAGCGAGTCTGTGCTGGGGAGGGCAGAAATGAGGCTGATGCAGGAAGGGGCCTGGGATGTGGCCATGGCCTTGTGACAGGGGTCCACTGAGACCCTCTACCCAGTTCATATACCCCCTGCCCCGCCCTGTCCCTGCAGACCTCTCACCATCCAGGGCAGGGATGACGGTCTTCCTCAAGGCCAGGACGAGCCCCAGCGGGCACCCGAAGAGGAAAAGGTCTGCGATCTCAAAGTCGAACTTCCCCACAGCCCCTGTGCCATCCAGCATGGTGGAGCTGCTCGAACGGCGGGAGCTGGGCTCATTCCTCAGCACGCTGGCATGGAGGCTGCAGATGGAGGGCCTCGTGAGGTCACACCACACCCCTTCTCAGCTCTGGCTTGCCCTCAGCCTCCCAAAGGAAGACCCCCGGGGGTCGTCAGGCCTAAACGAGGCTTGGCCCCTGAGCTCTCCTGCAGGTGTGGCTGCCCAGTGCCCACTGGGACACCTCTCTCGGGGTGCCACTGACTTTAGAACAGCCACCCCTGGTCGCTTCTGCCCCCCAACTCTCCCCCACCCCTGGACAAGCTGTTCCCTTGGGCCCAAGATGGCCCTCGGTATGTACAAGACCCCAGACGCACCCAACAAGCCACTTCCTCCTGGCCAAAGGGCCACGGGCCCAGCCCGGGCATCCCAGTCCCCTCGTGTCGGCCATCGGCACGACCTGGTTCACGTCCTCAATTCCGAGGCATCCCCCCCTCTCGGAGTCCCCCTCCTCACCTGGCCACAGGCCTCGTGGTCAGACCCTCGGGGCCCCGCCGGCCCCACCCACCTGGACAGGAAGGCCTGGTGCTGCTGGATGGTATCCAGCTCGTAGGTGGATGAGTCACTCCTCTTCCGGGGCAACTGCCTTTTGGGGTCTTCGACACCATTGCTTCGGGGGATATCAATGTTGCTGCGGCTCAGGTGCCGGCTGCTCTCCAGGCCGCCACCGCCACTGCCTCCATGTGCCGCATTGACCAGGGTGCCGGGGGACAGCAGGTCAGTGTCCTGGAACAGCCCCGTGCAGGCTCACTGCCCAGCGGCCACTGGCCTGCGCCCAGCTTCAGTGTCCTCCCTCCCGACTCCAGGCCCTCTGGCCTCTGCCCAGCCAGCCTCTCACCCACAGCAGAGAGGGGAAAGCCCTGTCCCCCCCCC